TATTATTATTATTATTTTGTGCGTAACAATAATATAAATATCATTTTATAGAAAATAAAACTTTATACTCTTCTTGTCCCAAATTAAATTGGTCTCATGGAGTTTTGTAGTAGATTCAGAAATAATACTAGTATTTTATGAATTAATAAAAGTGTGTAAGAGTTTTTGAAATTTTTATTCTTTGTAATTGTATATGTAAGATAGGTTTTTAATTTAAATAAAAGTTAAGGGTATTTTTGTATAGTGTATGATTATTTTTTCTGAAATAGAAATGAATATTTTGAAATGTGATAGACGAAAAAAGTAAAAATGTTACTTTAAATTAGGACGGATGATGTATAATACAAATAAATAAAAATATATATTCCCTCCGTCCCATTGAAAGGTTGTCATTTTTCATTTTCGTCCGTCCCAAAATAAGGTTACAATTTCCTAATTTAGTAATTGTACTACCTACCTAACATAATAAATATACTTCCAACTTACACTATATTACACAAATGTCGTTACTTTTATATTACACAATACTAATAGGGGTATTTTTGTCTTTTTTACTACAATCCATTATAATACTAATATTCAAAAATCTACGTGCAAAAAGCAAACGCCACCCTTGTTCCGGGTCGGAGGGAGTATAATTTTTTTTTTACTCCTTCAGTCTCATTTAATTTGTCCACTTTTTCTATTTTTGTTCGTCCCACATATTTTGTCATTTTCTTTTTTGGAAATATAATTATACACTTTAATTACATTTTAAAATTCCTAATTTATAATTTTTTTTAATTTTAATGAAATTATTTAGTCATTTTAATCTTAATCTATAATTATTTTTATTAAATCATAATTATTTTTACTAATACACTTCTTAATTACTTAATAATTATATAATACTTAAAACTTACTGCCAAGCTAAAATGGACAAAATTAGTTGGGACGAGGAGTATTAACATAATTAACTTGCAAATAATAGAGAATTTTGAACTAATATAAATATATTTTTTTATTGAAGAGAGACGTACGAATAAAAAATTTTGAATAAAAAAAATTGAAAGTATAGTAATACCAATTCAAGTTTAGATATTTTAGATATTCAATTTAATAGATTTATATTTAGATTTGGTGTTATTTTAGAATATTCAACAGCAAAATTTCCATAAATTTTACTATTTGAATTCTGTATTTTTCAAAAAAATATTTTTTTCTCATAAAACATTATTTTCATATCAAAACTAAATTAATTTTTTTTCAAATATTCTTACAACTTATAATATATTACACAAATATCATTACCTTTATATCACACAATACTAATAAAGTTATTTTAGTCATTTCTATTTTATTCCTACTACATTCCAATATAATACTAATATTTTTAAAACTACGTGCAAAAAACAAATTGATACCTAGTCACGGAATATATTTGTTATTTATACTACATATTAATATTCAAATATAAATCTACAAAAAATTCATGATACTCTTCTTACGAGGATGAGACAATATTAATTTTATATATGAATTTATATTTAAATTTTAAATTAATACTTCGATATACCAATCGTTCAAAATTAATTTATCAATTTTTTTTTAGCAATTATACTATACGTTAAAACTTAAAAATATTCTTACACTGTCATCGTCAATATATAGCTAATTTACTATCTATACTTTTTTTTTAACAACATACTTTTAAACATTAATATGAAGTGAATATAACTTTTTTTAATAATCCATCAATAATTATAAAATCACTAATTTAACAAATATTATGCAAAAACAAAGTGACATATATATAATTTGTGTAATTTTTTTAAATATAATTTTTATTGATAATAGTTGCAAGTGATCCACAATAATAATGTTAAAAATATAATTTTAATGTTTATATTTTTAATTCTTGTAAATATATTTATAGGATGATATTTAAGAAAAAATAAGTTATTGCATAGAAGTATTATATTAATATTTATAATTTATTCTCATTATATATTTTAATTATTCATCACATAATTATTAATATTTATTATTTATTCTCATTATATATTTTAATTATTCATCAAATTATGTGATGTTATTTTCAAAAAGATATACTATTAAAACTTTAATTTTTTAATAAATTATTAAAAGTGCATGAATTTTTATTTAAGCATACAATATAAAATTCAATTTAAATATATTTAAACTTTCAATTCAACAAATAAAAATATTATTAGTATGTTTGTTTAATTTGTAATACACAATAACTTCACATTAAACAACACAATTATTTTTATTTTTACATTATCGATGTTAAATTTGTAATTTTTTTTTAAAAAAAATATTATATCAACAAATTTATTGTACTATAAAATATTTCATTAATTATTCAAACCACAAGTGTTTGATTGATTTCCGTTTAACCAAAATACATATCTACCTACTAAAATGGTAAAATCATATTAAATATTTTCAACAACAAAACAAAAATTATATTATAAAAAAATAAAAAAGAAGTTTAAAAAAAAAGTAAAAATTTAGAGGTACATGTACTTTTAAAACAAATGTGCAAACTTACTATTTACTAAAACTCTAATGCGTGTTATTATCTGTTACTATAAAATTTTTAGATAAAGTGTTGTTAAAATTTAAATTAATCTTTTTTAATATATATTTTAAATTTTTAAATTTTAAAATATAAAAATTAAAAAGCTTATTAATAAAAACTTTTTTATTAATAATTAATTTTAATCATAACATTCATAATTCAAAATCTATCCCTCCAATATAGCAAATGCATTAGGTCTGCATTTAAATATTTTCATTAAATAAATGACAGAAGTACTTATTTTAATAAACAAATAACTTGTAATATATATACAAATAAAATATAGTTATATTCTTTCTTGTGGCCGAGACTACAATCCAGAAGAATAATTTTAACAACCACCGTTCTTCACCGCTTCTCCGTCGACCACGGCGCCAATTTATACCGTTATTGAGAGGTTGCCACCATCAACATAAGCTCGAGAAGAACGCATTGAAGGACTACGTCTTGCTATGGTCGGTGCCGTTACGATATTCTTAGAGTTTAGATTCCGGAACGCAGATTTCATGCTTGCCAACTTCCGTTTCCTCGCCGGAAGGCTCTCCTGAAGCTGGCCGGGTGTTTGTTTGACATGGACAATTTCTGATTTTTCTTTGCCGGAGATATCATTCATGGGGAGGTTTATGTGGTTCTCAGTTAGGGATTCACTTCATTATATAGATAGTTGGCTTAAAGAAATATACAATTAAAAAATAGTAATAATAATTGCTACTATTATTTTTTTAATTAATAAGAAAAATATTTCAGTTTTCTTATATAACTTTTTAGTTTTTCTATACTAAAGCTTTTACTAGTCCCACCAATGGTTACTCTTCTCTATGAAATCAAACCTTTTACAAATATTTATTATATATTTTTATTACAAAAATAATGTATATACGACTACACTTCTTTAAGATGTAGTATTTAAAAACTATTATATATAATGATCAATCAATATTTTTTATTTTTTTTAAGAAAATACGAAAAGGCATTAATTCAAATTTTACATCATCTAAGCTTGTAATTTTCTTTTACAATAATATTTAATTTTTTTATTACAATTTTACCAATATATAATTATAAATAATTTTTTTAATATGAAAAAATGCATAATAATAATAATAATAATTTGTTATATAAAATCTCAATTATGTATATAATATTGGATAAGCTCAAATTAATTAATATTAATTAACTTATATACTACACTTACATACATATATTTTTTTAATCTAGTACGTATTTAAAAAATAATTATTAATTATAAATACATTTTTGCAATACAAAAAGTAATTAAAAATAAGTGAAGATACAGTTACATCACATATGATTTTGTGTATAATATGAAATAAATAATTTAATATAGTATCATATATATATATATAAACAACAATTAAAAAGAAAGAAAAATATATAAATAATCATTGTGTATATCTTATATAAGAAAAATATATAAATAATTATTGTGTATGTCTTACATATTATTTAAATAAAATAAAAAAATTATTATTTGCAATGGTCAATCCAATTGTACAATCAATTAAAAAAAAATCAAAATAAATAGAAATTCATACTTTTTGAAAAGGTGAGTCCCACAGTGAGTTCAAATATAAATATATTAATCATTTATATAAATATAATATATATTATTTATATGAAATAAATAATAACGTATGTTAAAATAATTAATTCAAATCTTATACTAATTGATAATTTTATATATAATTCTTAGATTTGAAATATTTAAAAAATAAATATTAATTAATAATAAATTAATAACATTAATATCCTACACTATAAATATATATTAAATGTATTTAATTAATAATAAATTAATAACATTAATATCCTACATTATAAATATATATTAAATGTATTAAAAATATATTGAAGAAAATAAACTTATAAAGAAATAATCAATAATCAATTAAATTGTATCATCAATTAAAAAAAATACAAAATAATTAAACCAATCAAATTATACAATCAATAAAAAAAATACAAAATAATTTCAATCAATGACCAATAAAAAACATATTGGCCTACAATGCTTTAACCAATCAAATAATATAACCAATCAAAAAAAAAAAAATTCAAAATTAATCTAAATTTATGCTTTACATTGTGGTGAGAGCCACAATGAGCTCCTATAATATTATATATATATATATATATATATATTATATGGCGCGCGTGTGGAAAGAGAGAACATTAATTTGCCCCTTCAACGAATATATCATTTTGTATGTTTAGAATGATTCCCATTATGACGATGATGATGATAAGAATTCTTACAAAAATTCGAACCCACGCATGATTATTCTGTATCCTTCAATGTCCGGTAATTATCATAAGAATTCGAACCGTATCCCTTCCTATCTGTTTCAAATCTCCTCTTTTATTCTTACAATAGTTTGCTTGGCTTGATCATAACTCAACATTCGATCACCATGTCTTGCCATGCAAATTAAAATCCAGGAAAAGAAAAATATATATGGATCTTTTTGGTAAGGCAAAATCCGTGAGGCTGATGAGCTACAACGACAGATACCTAACGGCAGACGGCGACCAGCAAACGGTGACGCACACAAGCCACAGAGAATCATCGTCGACCATATGGACGGTGGAGATGATGGAGGATGAAAACGACTTCATCCGCCTCAAGAGCTGTCACGGGACGTATCTAACGGCGTCAAGCTCCCCGTTTCTTCCCGGGGTCACCGGCAAGAAGGTCATCCAAACGGAAATGGAGTCATCGTCGTATTGTGATCCTGCACCCAAATGGCAGCCATTGAGAGACGGCATGCAGGTTGCTCTATCGCTCGATCGATAATTAAGATATATATATATGTGTGTGTTTATTTGATATATATATTATTTATTTCGTTATCATTTATATATATATGAATGATCGATCCATCCATCCATCAGGTGAGGCTGAGGTCATTTTGTGGCAACTATTTAAGGCCTAACGGCGGCCTCCCTCCGTGGAGAGGCTCCGTCACGCACGACGTGCCCCACCGGCCCAAGACTCGGGACAAGCTCTTATGGGATGTGGAAGTTGTCGAGAAAAGCGCCGATAATAAGCAAACAACAGACTAGAGGAATGGTGACAACCTTTCGAGAAATCAAGTTAAGAGAGTCGAACCATTTCTTCTGACTCTCTTTCAAATTCGATAAATGTTGATTGATCGTATATTTCATTATAGTTCTATGATTCAAATTGGATCTTTTCACTATCCAATATCTCCTCCTCCCTTTCATTTTTTCCTCTCTCGCCGGCCTATTTCTTTTTTGATATTGTTTCTTATGATTAATCTGTAGTTCAAGGGCACTTTTCCTAATCCGAGTTTGAGATAGAAGAAGACCTTGTTAAGCAAAAAAGCCGGGAAGTGGTGAATAGACAGGTACTTAAGACAGTGCTGCCTACTCGCGAATTAGCTTCAGAGGTTCGTTATTACCGGTAGTTCCTACAAAGGATCGGACTAATGGGTGTATACAATACTTGGCCGTGAAAGTGAAAATGAAAATGAGAATAAATTTAAATTACGAGATTTCGGGGCCTAGATGAAAGATAGTCTTTGTAGCCACAAACATGAGAAGTGAAGTGATAATTGATTGCAGTTATTCACCAATTAAGCAAGCACACTGACCAGGCTGTCTTTCCTTATGAATAACATCAATTATATTGTTGGCATGCAATGCAAATCAAAACAACCATATATAATCAAGCTGCTGCGGTGTCCATCTTCAAGGTCTTCAAAATATAAGTATAAGTGAAGGCATCTTCCTGGAGCTTTTCGAACCTGCGCATAAACAAACACAATGTAGCCGAGATGAAGACTACGGCTCGTGTTGAATTTTGATGCTTTTCGAGGATTACAAAAACCACTTGAATTGAATTGAATTGTTCTGTTTTCATAAGCTACATATGTTAAATAAACAACCAATTTGTAGAATATATATATATATATGCAAATAAAATACATACCTTCCCGACTTTGAGAAATGCCCCGCGCCAAGTTCGCATTTGAAGAGCAGAATATTGTCATCTGTCTTTGTATCTCTCAGCTTTGCAACAAATTTAGCTGGCTCCGAGTATAAAACCCGTGTATCTGAAAAACAACAACACAAGTATACGAGCTGTCCGTGACAGGGAAAGTATTTTAATCAAAAGATGAAATGGTTAAAATTTCTTACCATACAAACCAGCAGTAACTAGAATGGCAGGATAACTTTGTGGAATAATCTGTCCAAACCAACAAAGTTAAGAGTAAAAATTTACAAAGAACTAAGTATATTTGAACTTGGGCGAATTAAGCAGTGGATGCATAAAAGGGCTTGTTTTTAGAAGAACAGAATGGAGTAAGTAATGCTCACATTGTCCACAGGAGAGTAAGACTTCATGTAGAAATAGAAGTTTTCTTTGCGAGGATCGCCCCATTCCTGCACCAAGACTTAAATTGAGTCGCGCCTATGATTCTATAATCAAACACACTTTCAGCAAACACCTCAGAAAGAACAATGCTAACCTCGTACTCAGCAGTTGTAAGGGGAATAGATGCATCAAGCATTGTAGTCACAACATCGACGAATGGAACCCCGGCCACAGCAGCCTTAAATAGATCTGGCCGCATGTTAAGAACAGCACCAATAAGCAAACCCCCGGCACTTCTTCCCTCAATGCAGAGTTTTTCCTTGGAACAATACTTCTTCTCCAACAAATATTCAGCACACGCAATGAAATCTGTGAATGTATTTCTTTTCTTGAGCAGTTTCCCATTTTCATACCATAGTCTCCCCATTTCGCCGCCTCCACGAATGTGAGCAAGTGCAAAGACGAAACCCCTGTCTAACAAGGACAACCTTGACGCCTTAAAGGATGCATCGTTAGGTAGCTGTTTCAGAAGTAGCATCAGTATATAATGAGACAATCGTTTTAACTTGTGAAAGAGAAGGTGGAACTTTTTTATCAAAAAATAATGACAAGCTATTCCGGCTACTCCAATGCTTCATTTAAGAAATAAAGTCAATGCTTTACCCCATAGGAACCATAACCAGAAAGAAGTAATGGATCGGAACCATCAAGCTTCACCAAATCTTTTCTATACACAATTGAAATTGGTATTTGAGTGCCATCTGCAGCAGTCGCCCACTGCCTTTCAGTTATGTAGTTTGCAGAATCAAAGCCACCCAAAACCTGAAAAAAAGAATCAAATAGTTACATGACAAGCTCAATGGTTGAAGTTATAATTTTAAGCTTCATCAAAAGTACAGCATTGACAGATACATAGAAATGTAGAAAGAGATTTAAACTGAAACTCTCAACAATGTAAGCATGGTAACTCACTGGATCAATTTTCTTGAGAACTGAAATCCCGGAGTTCATATCATAATCATAATAGGAAGGAGGTGTCCTCAAGGAGCTGTACTTAAACCTCAAAATTGTTGAAGAAAATTGTGAATCCATTGAATCCACATCGTACACAGAATCAATAAAGTCCACAGCTCGGCCACCTTCAAGTGGTCGAAGAGGCTCTCCTATTCCCGGAAGGTGATATGTCGTTATTTTGGGCAGTCCATTTTCACGTTCAAGAACAACAATATGATCACGATACAGTTGCATCTCCTGAATATTTATGCTGGTGAAAGTATGAAACATGTCAGTTGAATTCGTCATTAGATGTCAACCAAAAAGGTGCTATGAAGAATAACTATGTGGCCCCAAAAGAAAAAGGTATTAAAGTTTAACATAAATCAGGAAATGTTTCAAATTAATGTAACAGATTTAAGTACTTTCAAAGTAATTTCATGCAATTGTGAGCCTTCTAAATCATTTGGTTAAAGATTAACGTTCCTGATGTTGACAGATGAAGTTGTTGATAGATTAACCCTAAACCCTAAACCTTAAGGCTTAAAATGATAAAAGGATACTGTTTTACATTTCCTTAATCTATAAAACGTTGAAAATACATACACCTTAGTGTTAAGTTAACAAGGCAATATTATATAAGTTACATTTACTTAATTCTTCATTCCTTCAACATTTATTTTGCACAATGTATATTACATGTGATTAGGTTTAATTTACTTAACACGAAATATTTTTCGAACATACACATTCAAATTTCAATGCTTATTCGTAAATGAAATAAATAGTCTAGCATTTGTACCTTGGGCGATGGGGAAGAACAATCGTGATTGCAGATGTGTTATCAACTGGACAAGCAATTAATTCAGAATTGAAGGACTCGTTGCTTCTTCGTTTAATGAAAAAATGATTCCCGCGATGACTTGCCGAAGTCTCTATGCCATCCACACGTTGTGTTAAAGGAACAAGCCCATTTTCAGGTTTTGAAATGTCGAGGTAAAAGACAAATCTAGTAGTTTTGCTAGAGGACTCAACAAACAGAAACTTCTCACTCTCGGAAAGATCAATATCAATAGAAAACATATCATCCTTTTCATGATAAAGGCAACGATCTGATGATTGGTCAGTCCCCAGTTTATGGAGCCATACCTGCCAAAACAAAAATCAGGAAAGATGACAGGCTAATAGGTGTTGTCAAATTAAGCAAATATAGAAATAGATAAAATAGCATATTGAATCCAAAAATGCTTGAATCTTAATCACACCGAAAGCCTCAGCCTCCATCCTCAGGCCCAAGCTACCTATCTTGAGTCTGCTGTTAGCAGTGATCTACCTCCATGTCCATAAGTGATATTAAACAACTGCACCTACATTCGCTCAAAATTAATCTTACCTTCACTATTAATCCTCTTCTACATCAAAATGCATCCACTATATCCACTATTAATCCTCTTCTACATCAAAAATAATGCATCCACTATATCCACTATTGAAGAAATTAGTCACGCCAAAAACTAAAATTAAAAAAAAAAAAAAAAAAAAAAAAAAAAATTCTATGTATTAGCTCCAAGATCCAAATTCAAAGACTCGAGAGACTGTTATAAACTGTCCTTACTTTCATTGTGCAATAAATGACTAATGAATAACAAACAACATCATTCATTAATAAAATTACAGAATGAATCTGAAGAGGATTAATTATAGATTCAATAGTAGAGTGGACTTAAAGACCCAATGGAATCGATCCCATCATGTATATCTGTAATTAGGGAGATGGATTTGGTTTATTAGTTTCTCAAGTTACAATACTTGCAATATTACCTATATGTTAAAGAGCACACACTTCACTCAAGGAAATGAACTCATTCAGTAATGCAGTCACTATCAACAATTTTATCACCTTGTCTGGTCGGAGGATCTCGTCTCTAGTGATGTATGCTAAAGCATCATCGCCCACCCATTCAATACCTGGTGTAATCCTAACCAAAGGCTTCTCGACTAGTTCACCAGATTCGGCATCTATAATATATCCCGTGTAAGTTTCATCTCCTTTGGTGTCTTCTGCATAAGCTACTAATTTGTGGTTTGGACTAACCTGGAAAGAACAGAATGAAGTGGAAAGGAGTAGGTGAAAACAGAATTGGAAATAACCTGAGAATGAATGTTACAACTCTAAAGACATGGAGAAAAAATCATTGGAGAAATAAAAGATAGTGATCTTGCTTCAAAGGCGTCGACACTGTAAAATTCATGATCTTGAGCTTTGACATTTTCATCAAGAATGATATGCTCTGCAGGGGCATCAGGTCCTCTTGGCATGGTGTCATTGACAGAGGGCTCTTGAGTAACATTCACCACAGCACGGCGACAATGTTGGACATACTCTTTGCCTTTCAGGGTTCTTTCGTAATAATAGTAAGGCCCATCACGCAGTGGTGCCGATATATCATCTTCTTGCAGGCGCCCTCGTATCTCACTGTTAATTTGAGCTTCCAGTTGTTTGGTTCCTTAATGAGAAGTCGTTAAACAGTTTAAAAAACATAACAAGAAGAAGAAAGAAAAGGAAACATCTGTAAGAGAATAAACAAACTACATCGACTCAAGCATAATAATATTTCAACCAAATTTCCTCAAGTGGGTGACAGAACAAGATCTCGTTGAACTCATGACAATTAATTCTCTGTAAGTTTTTAGTTTGCTGACAAACAGTAGCCCAATTTAGCCTGTATCAACTGAATTGCCCAATGTCAGGTTTGAAATAGCACAATCAAAAGGCTTACTAATTCCCGATTAGAATTCAACAATAGATTAAATGAAGCACAGATTTCGACGATAACAAACAAATCGTTTTCCGCAAAACTCATTGTACCTAAGCCCTCAAATTAGACTTCACTTTGAGTAAATGCCAATCATCTGTAACAATCCTAAAAGGCAGTGAAAAAAACGAAAGTGGAGGATACCAGACATGGCGTGGTCGGTGTAGGCGTTCTCCTCCCGAAGATAAGCCAACACCTGAGGGTCGGAACGAGAGTCGTCCCGAAGCCAGTAGTAATTGTCGACTCGGACGTCGCCAAAATTCTCCATCTCGTGTCTCACTTTCTTGGCAACAGGAGGCTTCATGGTCGGCAACGACGAAGAGGAAGACATTGACAAAGACGACAGCAACACCCACAATCCTCCGACACTGAGACTCAGACTCCTCCTTGGGAACACAAAAGCAGACGCAGAGGAGTTGAAGAGCTTCGGTAGCGTTGGGGACGAGTTTGAGAAGTGTAGTCTTGAGGGGAGAGTGAGACCCAACTCCACTCGTCCCGCCATTGGCCCAGAGTCCAGAGATGATGGAACGCCTTCCTCATCCCAGCCTGCTTCATTACCGAATCATTCCTTATTATCATTTTTCGCTTATTGTCGTATTCTAGTATTATTTTCCTTTATGAGTCCCGCTATTATGTCACCATGATGAGAAATGATATGATTAATAAATAGTAATTAATGAATATATTAATAAAATTAATTATAATATAATATAAATAATTATATATCAAAATTAAAATAATTAATTAATCTAATTAAGATTATAAAATTTAAACAGAAAAAATATATATGGCATTACAAGTGCAATTTTGAAAAATGAAGTATTTTTTAATGATTATGTTATAATCGAACAATTAAAGTATTTTTTTTATAAATGTAAAATAATAAAATACAATATTTGTATTATATTTTTATAATATTCAATGATTAATAACGAATCTTTTCATCAATTTTTTTTTTCTTACCGCGTAATCTTTTATAAATATTATCAAAAATTTATTATGTAAACATATTTATTTAATATATTTTATTCGTTCCGGTGCAAAATTGTTATTTGATTTTTGTATCATTGTATTTGGCATTAAAAATATTTTTATATTTTAATAATTTACTTACAAATATAGTTATATTTCTATTATAAAAGAATAATAATTATATTTTATTTTTTTTATTGATTTTTATTATATATATAGATATAATAATTAATATTTACAGATGAAAGTGACAAATCTTCTTACAACCTGAAAAGAGTAAAAAAAAAAATATAACATTCAATATAAAAATAAAAAATAAAAAAAAAATCTTGCAATTTAAAAAAAAAAAATTAACATATTCAATATAATTTTTTTTTATTTTATTTTTATATTATATCCATACTACACACCCCAAAATAAATGTCAGATGCAACATACTCCTTTGTTTCTTTGCAATCATTGGATATTCAATTATTGCCCATTCATTATATATCCCAGAGAGTATATACATATTAAAAAAGTCTTTGACTTTTTTTTTATCTCATTTTGGAAGTGTTTTTTTACCAATTTCAAAATATATATCTTAACAAAAATATATATATATATATATATTACATACATTTATTATTTTATATTACTTATACAATTTTCTATATCTCATATAAAAAATATATTTTTAAACAATTTCACTAATTTACAAATTAAATTAAATATTCTTATTAAATATTACTCCCTCAGTCTCGACTACGATGTCTTCTTTACTCGACTACGATATCTTTTTTACTGTAGACACGAGAATTATGAGGTGTGTAATTAGTATATAATTAAATATATATTAGTAAAATTAATTATAATATAAAAATAATTATAGATTAAAATTAATATAATTAATTAGTCTAATTAAAATTTAAAAAATTATAAATTAAAAAATTTAAAATAAAATTAAGTGTATAATTTTTTTCAAAAAATAAAAATGACAAAATATGTGAGACATACATAAATGAAAAGATAGGCACAGCAAGTGGATCGGGAAGGGAGTATAAAATTACATACTAAACACATTGAAAAAAATAAAAATAATTTGATTTAGTAAATAGTATTTTAATGTACTCCTTTCGTCTCAACAGAAAGTATTGATTTAACTATTTTTGCTTATTCTATTAAAAGTATCAGTTTTCTAGTAAAGTAATCATACACTAATACCAAAATATTTTTAAATTTTACATAAAAATAAATATATCATTACACATATATATAAAGTACAAGGGCATCATAAAAAAATACAAATGACGAAAATATTAAATTATCTAAAATACTTTCACTAACCAATAAAATATGAGAAGGTTATCGTACAGAATTTGGAAAATTAGCACACGTAAAATATAGAAACAACACACGTCTTTATTAAATACATCATATGTTGTTTGTAATAAAAAAAATAAAAATGTGTTGTTAGTTCATAATTATAGTTTGTTGTATGATACTACGTCACGTTTAAAATCAAGCATTGTATGTGCTGTGTGACACTATATCATGTGTGTTAGGGTTATGTGTTGTATTTGTATTATATTAAAGTATATTGTGTGTTGTTTATGTTAACACCACAGCACACGGTGTGCTATTCAACACAGTGCTAAATTTTACATTCAATATTGTAATGGCCGCCCAATAAAATAAAATAATTTCTTAATCTATTACAAAAATTCAAATGAATAGTTTTGCTCAAAACAGAATGAGTAATATTTGTTAAAATACAAATTGTAATTTTTATTGAAAATCGTAGAAATTGAATAATATAAAATGTAATTTGAAATAAAAAAAAACTACATATTCCCTCCGTTCAGCTAGAAACTATATATGTTTCTATTTTGAGACGTCCAATTACAAAGTAAACATTTTATTAAATATCTCATTTTTTTTTCACAAATACCTTTATTTTACATCACATCATTACTTTTATACCAAAAAATAAGGGCAAAAATATCATTACACTACTTTATCCGTGGACGGAGGAAGTATTTTGTAATTTATTTGAAAGGTTGTAGAGCTATATATTAAAACTTCATTTCAGAGTCCTATTGGTAACGTCTATTACATTTTCAATTTTTTTTCTATAACATGTCTTACATATATTCAAAACGGTTCTAGACACATATTACTTGTAAATTTTTTATTTTGGTTTTAATTTTAAATAATAAAATATTGAATTGAAATAATTATTTGATGTGATATAAAATATGTACCAATGTAATATTTTGAATGTAAAATTAACTTTTAATATAATAGTAGTATAATAAATAAATAAATAAATAGGTATTTGATTCGATATTTTTTAAGAAAAAAATTAAAATAGCAAAGTAATGTATAAATTTGTATAGGTAAACACACCCATTATATTTTTAATGATGTGATTTCTCCAATAAATATAATAAATACTAAAGGCATATTTATTCTTTCACTTCAAAAAAAAAAAATTATTATTCATCCTGCACGATTTATAATAAAAATAAATTATTTTTTTGTCTAATAAAAAATAATCTGATGGTGTGGGAATAAATTGTGGTTGTAAGATCATATGTTTAAATGATTATTTATAAATATTATTGAATAAATATAATATAGAGTTTTGGTAAATTTAATTCATTATTGATTTTGGAATAGTCAAATTTTTAAATTTTAATTATTGCATTTCATTCAATATTGATTTACTATAATTGTTAATATTGCAGAAGTTGTAGGAGGCTCTAGCCCAGGGGTTGAAGCATTTATCCGTTGCTGATGTGGCACATCTTTTTATTTTGTTTATTTTTACAAATATTTTATTTCATACCATGAATTATTATGTACCTCTTTTTTTTGTTACCGTATGTGGATGTCCTTACAGCCAAGGTCTGATCTCCACGGTTATTGCAATGACTGGATTATCGTTCTTGAAGGATACTGATATTAAGACTTTTATCAAACAGAAACAGAAGAGAAGTTTATTAAAGCAACTTGTCATACTTGGGAGGTAAATGCATTATTCAATGTTGTTACCATTGTAAATGAATATAAAAATTTCTTATATGATATGATTAACACATGTTGTAGTAAGCAGCTCCAGAAATTGCTGCACTGAAGGTGGAGTTACGGAAAAAGGATATTGCTATTGCGAACTTACTCGTAAACATCCTTTGTAATATTGGTATTGTTATGTATCCATAATTGCATCTTTTAAACCTAACGTGCTATGTAATCTATGTACACGGGTGATATGTGTACCTGGAGTATATTCTGAAGTGCTATTTAGTAAAATTGGTAAACTTTCAAAGTAATTCGAGATGACCCTATCACTAGAAAAAAATAATATATTTGTAACGGAATTCCGTCCCTAAAGTTCACGTAGCTAACGTAATTCCATTCCTAATTCCGTCTTTAATGTCATTAGTAACGAAAAAAGTAGATTTAGAGACAAAAAAGTTTTGTTACAAAAATGATTTTTTCTTGTAGTGTATGGATGACGTATTTATACGGACTTACTCATGCATATACCCCCACTTAAAATATATACGCTCATACATGCTTTGAAGTAGAGAATTAATATTCATTTGCTTTAACAACCTTATACGAAGCATAAAATGTAGGAAAGATGATATATATGACATATAAGAGAAATATAAATAGTATTACATGCCTTATGGTCTTGCCATTGAAAAATATAAGTCCAATCCGACAATGAACAATGGCGATTGTAGACAAGAATGACTTAGAAATGGCTTTCTCCGGCGAAATCGAACGACAACAACTACGGTACCTTCCGAATGAATACAAGAAAAATGTAGCAACACAACCTCGTCTTCTTCTAATGGAAACTATTTTTTTTTTTCAAGAAAACAATATATCATTTGTTCATACTTACAATCAACAACATAACTAAATAGATATGTACCTAAAAGAATTTCAGTTAAGTTTGTGTTTCAAAACATCATATAAATAAGCATGGATCACAAAATAAGAGGTCGATGCAAAGAAAAGGAATTACCATTGGTTGCACCATGTATACCCCTAATGCGTTGAATACCACAAGTGATATGATACATAAAACTCATTAGTATATTTGTTGATCAATTGCAAATTTTGGGGGTGTATTCTATTGAAATTTCAATTGATTTGTTTGGATTTTAAAAAGTTTATGGATTTATGTAGATTTAAAAAATCCCTCAGACTGTATGCTGAGTTTGATTGAATTTTAGTAATTGATTAAGATGAATTTTTACAAATTTGATCGAATTCTCTATGAATTGATATGAATTTCGTCGAATTATAGAATATTTTATTTATTTATATATAATTATATAAATTTATATCAAACACAAGTTTTATAAATATAATTGTTGATGGTAAAATTTCAACAAATAAAAAAGTAAGATTCAGAATTATATTTCGAACATGAACAAATGTCTGAAATTACGCATCCCTAGACAAACAGTACATAATATTGCTAAAGAAAATAGAAAGAAAAGCTTAAAAAGATAATTGGAATATAAAATGATGATCCCCAATGAGATTTTCTTGAAATTTTGTTTGATTGAAGATGTCCATCCTCA